TGTGGTATTTTTCAAGTTTGGAGGTGAAAGAGGTAGAGTACCTCTCTAGAACTGAAAAGCTAAGAGTTCAAAATGGAAAACAAAAAATCACAGTTAAAGGAAGGCTGAAAAAAGCCAACATTTCCGAATAGTGGCAATGTGGAAAACAAAACAACAAAAGTCAACAGTGAAGCTTGAGACGCTATTAGCAGGGTCAAACAAAACGTCTAAATAACATGTATCTCCATAACACTACAGTATTAGTCTTAGGTACATATTTTTAAAATATGTAGATGCAATGTCATTGCATCTCCTGTTTAACTGCTTCTCCAACTATACTCTTATCCTTACTTGAAATATTACCCTCTATTAATTCATAACGAGTAAACAGAACAGTGAAGTGATTAAGAGCTACTTAGTTTGAAAATAGACTGCAGGGGTTCAAATCCTAGCTCTTTCCTTTTCTAGCAAAGTACCTTAGGTAAATTACTTGACCTCTCTGTTCCCATATCCTCATATGTAAAACTCTGATAATAATAAAATCTACCTTTTAGGAGTTGTGAGGATTATATAATAAATGCAAAGTACTTAGAACACTGTTATGTCAATAAGGCCTCAAAAACTGTAGCTATTATTATTATCACTACCACTATTGTCATCATCACTAACCCTCATTTAAGTTCTAAAAGACAGAAATAGCCAGGCACAGTGCATTCCCCTGTAATCCCAGCAATGGTTGAAACTAGTCTGGACAATTTAGGGAGATCCTATCTCAAAATAAAATTTTAAAAAGGAGGCTGGTTGTGATGCTAAGTGTGTTGAGGTCCTGGGTTCAATTCTCAGTACCAAAAAGGGGATAGAAATACAAAATGACTTGTCTATCACACAGCACAAACAAGCAACAAAATGTGATAAATTGTGATTTAAAGTCCCAAATATTAATCATTAAAATTCAGTGATTCCCCAAGTAAGTAGATTTCCCAGTCTGTCTTCAGAAATTTACATGGGAATCTTTCAAGTAACACAGCAGCACAGAATAGTGGAAAGAGCACAGACACAAACTAAGAAAACCTATTTGCTCCACCAATGATTTAAATGTGTCATCCTAAACTTCAAATTGCTTTTTCCTACATTGCAGGGTGTTGTGACATCAAATGAGATAATACACAAGAAAATATACACAAACTATTAAAGCTCTATATGAATGTTCAAGGGCCATGTCCTGGTCTCATCTTTATATCCCTAATGCTTAACAAAATTCATAGCAGAGGTTATAATCTAAAAGAAAAGCCTTGGAAGGGACTGGTAAGGTGAATATCAGATGACAACAGAGAAGCATTAAAACAAATAGCAACCCAAATGTCTATAAACTGATAAGTGGATAAAAATGTAGTATATCCACATCGGGGAATATTATTTGGCAATAAAAAAGAATGAAATACTGATACCAATTACAACATGAATGACTCTTAAACTCTTGACCTCTTTTTGAAAGAAGCCAGACACAAAAGATCTTATGAGATAGTATGATTTCTTTTTTAGGAAATGTTCAAAACTGGCAAATCCGCACACACGGCACATACAGTAGTTGCCTGGGACTGGGAAATGTACAGTGGCTGATAATGGTTACACAGTTTATTTTTGAAATTATATTCTAAAAATTATCGCGGTTATACTTGCACTACTCTATGAATACACTAAAAAACACTGAACTGTATACTTTAAATGGGTGAATTACATGGTGTTTTTTAAAAGAATGACAAAAACTTTAAGAACTGCTAAAACAGCTGTCTTTAGAACACTCGTTTCTTTTTTGAAGAATAAATAGTGAATTTTCCAATATTTGAATAGCTCTGTTTTGTGAGCAAGAATGAGACTGGAGGAAACACCAGGAAAAAATAAATAAAAGTACTACATAAGACTGTAACATCTCTACAGATTCTGTGAAAAACAAATCTGGCATCTTGCTATTTCTTCCCTTCAAAATCCTAAGGTTACGAATTACCTCATTCTGGTCTAGTTTGATAGTCTTTTCACTATGGTCACGGTTACTGTTTCTGAACTTTAAGACTGCATGCCATACTTCTATAACCCTATCTTGTAGAAAATCTTCCTTTCCTTGGCTTCTGTGGAACTCATATACTTCCTGACTCTTCTCAGAATGCTTTATTTACCTATTAGTCTATTATGTTACCCCAAATTCCAAATCTCAAAGCTCTTTTCCTACTCTACTAGTTCCCTCTCAACACACATTTACTCACATGTGTTTTTACCATTACTATATAACCCTGTCACTGAAAAAAATTTATACTTCATCTGACTATTCATATTTGCTAATGATTAAATGCACAAGGTTAAGTAACTTTCCCAAAGTCCTTTCCTGATTATAAAACCTTACAATGAACATTTACTAAATTAAAGAGATGTAAAGCACACAGAATGATGGTTGCCATAGAAAAAGTATTCACTAAATGTTGGCTATTATTTTATTCTCACAACCGCTACCTTATGTCAGGCCTTCATCATCTTATTCTTAAAATTCTAGTCAGTTTCCCCACTCCCAGAACACTCAGCAGACACAAAAGCCTTCCTCAGGAACAGTGTGTATCATCTTACCCTCATTCCTTAGAACCCTTTATCCTTGAAAGGTCCTTTCCCAATATACCCTCACAAATCCTAAACTCACTTATTATTCACCAATTGAGTCTCTTGATATCTTTTGTAAATTTCCACTTCTCTACCTTTGCATATATGCCTTCAATCTCCTGGGATACACCTCTTCCCCTTTGGAAATTCCTCTTTCTCATGTTACATATACTTTTGACCTTGGTTGTACTGTTATTCCAAACAGGAGTTGGATGTTGTTTGGTGATTATAAATGATGTACATACCATTTCTCCAACAAAAGGACAAATCCGTTCCTCTTGGTACAGAGGTTGAAGCTTTTGAAGAGACTCATATTTTATTCTGTGTATCTTTTCATACCAACTACTTCACACAAAGACAACACAGTATTTTGCAGAAGTAAATAAATGCTGACTTATTTTATATACACACACACATATATATGAGCCTCAGAATATACCCAAATGACATTCTCTATTTTCCATGCCCCACCCATACTTAGCATAATGAAAGCAGATAGAATATGTACTTAAATATTTCTAGTCTATATAGGAGACTATACTAACAATTACACCAGATTAAAGGGGAAAGAGCAACATCAAAATGCACTCAAAATGATTGCACCATGTGAAAAACAAATAAGAGAATCCTGGCCATTTTAGTATATAAAAGAGTGACTTCAAAACAGTAAGATATTTTATTTCAACCAAACTTATGAACTAAAAAGAGCCAAAATAAACATGCCCTGGCCTCATCCAAAAAACACCTAATAAAGGCATGAGTAACTCMCCAGGATCTCCAGCAGCACAAAACCAAGAACAAGATTCACCTTAACTCTGACACAAAACCAAAAAAAGAGAAATCTTCAGATTCACATCAGAAATCAAAAAGTTCAATTAATCCACCAGATCAGAAAAAAAAAATTGAGAAAAGTTACTGATTTTCTATAACTATACGCTAAGGTCTTGAAGGAATAAAAGGTTTCTCTCACTGCTACCGTAGTCTCTTCCCTGTGGAGAGAGCAATCTATGGTCTCAAAGAGCAAAACACGGTTAAGATGGAAATCTTAACCTGGGAAAGACATTAAGAAAAAAAAAAAGAAGAAGAAGAAAGAAAAAGGTTTCAAAACCTGTGTCAAGAGACAAAAGTCTAATAGTACTCAAAAGAGAAGGAAAGTGAAATAAAAGAGCTTCCACGAAGGAGGTAACTAGGTGGAACTATCTAGTGCTGCCTTACAACATATATATGCACATACATGCATACATATGTGTGTATGTGTGTACACATATATGCATTCCCATATGACATGCACACCTTTTCAATAGTAAGCAAAATAAAAAATAAAGTAACATCAGAAAAAGACGTAAAAGATGCCCACCAATCTATAATTCGTTGGCTCTATTCATTCAGGAATTCAGCTAGGAACAACACAGACATGCACTGCAGCAACACAGAATAGAAAAACCTTGGACAACAATATGCACAAAAAGTAGAACAGAGAAATGAAAACTATACACCTCAATGCATCAATACCAAGCGCTTATTCTCTTTTGAGGATTAAGCAGTAGAAAGCAATGATGTCAATGAAACTAACCCTGGTATCCCCTACAGGTCTCAATTTAAGAGAGTACAACTCTTGGTTCTTCCATCTAAACAGTGGGCCCCAGCAAAGCAAACTGACCTTAACACCTTCCATGCCAGCCAGAGAAAATCACACAGGGAAAAATCATCCCGTAAATCTCCCTCTTCACCAGCTGCAAAAATGGAAGGGGGTGGGGGGCACGGGACACTCTACCACGTGGGCAGGATGCAACACACACAGGACAGCAACACGTCCGCATGGAACGGTTGCCTTTGCCCTAATGCCAGCAAAGGACACAGCAACAGGATGGGCGGGAACCAAGGCCCCTCGCAACGGCCTCCTCACCCCAAAGGGCACCCGCCGGGCGCAAGATATTGCCCGCCTTTCTGGCCGAAAAGCGCTCCCGAGCTTGAAGGGAAGCAGCCACATCGCGCCGGGATCGGGGACTACCCCAGGCTAGAACGCAGGTCACGGAGGGAAGGAGACTGTCGCTGTCTGCGGACTCCGCGCCCCCGGGATTCAGGTCCAGCTCCCCCGGGCCCCACCTGGGGGAGGGGCGGGAGGTGCGGAGCTGCCGCTTCCAGCTGAGGGGCAGCAGCAGCTGAGAATCGCCGCGGGGAAGGGAGGGACCCAGCCCTCGTGGCCCGCCAGGCCCCAACCTGAGCCCAGGCCCCCTGGCCCTCCCGCCGCCCACCGCGCGGCGCGCGACGGCTGAGAAGGGACAGGGCGTCTCGCGGAGGGCAGCCCCTGCCTCCGTCGCGGGAGATGCCCCGGCCCCGCCTCCTCGCCCGCCGCCCGGGTGGCGGGCACTCACCTCAGGCTGAGCAGGCCGGGACGGCCCGGCCGAGCCCCCGGCCGCTACGTGCGTCTCCGCCCCCCGGGAAAGGTCCCAACAGCGCCTGGTGCGAGCGGCCGAGGCCCCGAGCAGCGCCGAGAGCGGCGGCAGCAGCGGGAGCAGCCAACATCCGGGGCCGCGCACCCGGAACTACTTCCCGACCCGCTCCCCCTGCCGCCCCCGCCGCCCCCGCCTCCCGCGACGTCGCAGCGCCACCAGCCCAGCGTCGGCGGCGTCACGGCTCTCCGCGGAAGCGGTCTCTAAGCCCTGCGCGGATCCCTCCGCGGGAGCAAGTAGTGCCCGGGAACTTGAGCGGCTCTCTGGGCGCACAGTGGATCTCTACAAGAGGCTGGCAGTTTCGAGCGACGCGGGTCCCTGCGCCCCACAGTGGCGTCCGTGGGGTGAGATCGGGGACCCCATAATGAAGGATGGCAAGGATCAGCGGCTTTGGACCCTTTCCAAGGATTCCACAGGTCCCGTGTTCCAGAGGAATCCTGCCTCGTGACCTCCCCCAGCCCCCCAACCCTGCCACCTCACCGTAGGGACCGGCACCTTAGCCTGTCCAAGAAACCGGACCCCTTTTTCGACCTGGCGCAGCTTGGATTCCGCAGGCCCCAACAAAGGCGCCTTGTACTTTCCTTCAGGACTCCTTTTCAGAACTTCAGGAGGCCAGGGTTCTAGGCCTACCTCTGTGGAGGCCATTCCCCTGCCTAATCATACTTTCCTTCTACTTAAAAAAAAAAAAAAAGGACTTGGAACTCTAAAGGCCCTTCTGATTCACAGGTTCACTGTCCAGGTTATGGTCCTGCTGTCAACAGGTGGAGCATTTAGAAGGGTAGTTGGGTGCATGGTGGACTTTGGAATTTACTTCTACGTCAATCTTCGCTGATTCTTTCTCCAAACTATTAGCACTGATAATCTGCCCTGTAGTTTCACACTTGATTACTTTTGAGGTATTACTTGCTGTTGCTTCAGTTGCGTTAGTCATGTATTCTCCCCACAGCACCAAGAACACTTTTTTTTCCCCAAGAACACTTTTGAACTCAGTAGATAATCAATACATGGATAATCAGGTATTTGTTAGTTGAATATGGGTTGTTTGGATGAAAGGACAGAGACCGGAATGATTGACCCTGGGAACTTTTTTTTTTTTTAACTTCAAGGGGATCAGATAAAGACCTCAAGTAGTTAAAGATCTGAGCCTCTCTATTCCCTCAACAAATATTGAACACCTGCTTTTAGCAAGAATCTCTGGGAACTGGGGATACAGAGTACTCATATATTTCTAAGTAGCGCTCTAGCAATATTCTGAAGTTTCATTTACTCATTCATCCAACAAATACTTGTCCGTCACTGCTAAGTTTGCCAGATACCAGTGCTCAAGATGTATCCATAAACAGAAAAGAAAGAAGGAAAAAACATTTATCTTTCCCTCTTGGAGCTTTCATTTTATAGTATGGGGAGAAAGATGAAAAACACAAGAAGAGAATTACTAAGTATGTTAGAAGGCATTGAGTACTATCGGAAAAAATAGAGTAAGGAGCTATAAAGAATCCTGGAAGATAGGTGTTGTGATTTTAAATAGAACTGTGGTGGGGGGAACCTATTCATCATACTCTAATCAAACTTTAAAGAGGTGAGGGATAGCTGGGGATATAATTCAAAGATAGAGAGCTTGCCTAGCATGCACAAGACCCTGAGTTCAATCCCTAGCACTCCCCCCGCCCCCCCCCCAAAAAAAGAGGGAATGAGCCATGTAGGGTGGCAAAAACATCTGAGGAAGTGTTATAAATAATGAGAAGGCCAAGAGATTTGGAAAATAAAGACAGACAATGGAATCTTGTAGGCCATTGTAAGGATCTTGGCTAAAATAGGTCCCTCTTTGAACAGTGGGAAGTCACTCTTACTTATTTTGTTAACAGTAGATGGTAGTAGGGCAATAGTGGAAGCCAGAGGCTCCATTATCCAAGTGCAGAAGATGGCTTGGACCAGGATGACAGTAGTGTGTAGGACAAATAAAATATGGACTCTATACTTGAAGAACTCGTAGTCAAGTGGGAAGCAAGTAGATGAAATAATTACAATATATTATGACAAGGAAAGTAAAACCCAAAAAGAAATCTGCCCTTGCCATCTTCCCTGAGAGAGGATAGAAGTTCCCAAAGCTCCAAATTGCCAAAGGAATTGGAAGGTCCTGGTTCTTTGTTGATCCATTAGGTAGATCCTTGATAACACCTGATACTGGCCATTTTCCCAGCCTTCCACCTCTCAAAGCCCACCTTTTTCTGAAAGGAGTTATAGGCAGAAGAATACTAAAGAACAGTCTGGATCATATATTTAAGGAGATGGACAATGCTGATATTATTCCCATTTGTTAGAGGAAGAACTGAGGACAGTAGTTACCAGTAGTTATGAGAGTAGAGTTAAGGCCACTTGAATGGAGTCAGCCAGGCAATGGAATAGAAGAGAAAAAAAGACTAGTATTTGAACTTAGCTCCAAGTCTGAAGATTTGGGCTTCTAATCACCACCTCCTCTTATAATAAAGTTTTGGGCAGTTCCTCACTTCTCACTTGTCTGAGATTCAGAGGTTCTTCCCTCAAGTGCCTATTCTGGGCTTGTGGGTGATAGGGCAAGAACAAAACAGAGCTGGATGGCTAGCTGCTAGAGTGGGGTAGGGAGGTAGGGATCAGCCACCTTTGGGAAGAAAAGAATCATGAGTTACAGAGTATCAGAAGATGAAGAAGCAATCAGATGAATACCTGGTTCATGCTTAATGAGTAGAATTTAGCTGTTCTTGCCACAAGAACAAAGAGTGGGTAACTGTGAGATGGTGGATGTTGCTCCAATAACATGTTTACTATCTACATGCATCCTATAACATCATGTTGTTCACCTTAAATGTACAAAACTTGTTTGAAAATTTTTTCAAAGAAAAAAAAGGTGTCAAATATGATGGCACATACCTGTAATCCCAGCTACTTGGGACTGAGGCTGAAGCAGAAGGATCATAAGTTCAAAGCCAGCCTGGACAACTTAGCAAGACCCTGTCCCAAAAATAAAGGGCTAAGGGTGTAGCTCAGTGGAAGTACACTTGTCTAAAATGTGTGAGACCCTGGGTTCAATCTCAGCACAAAAAAAATAATTAAAAAACAGGGCTAGGTATAGTGTTCAGTGGTAGTGTGCCTCTGGGTTCAATCCCCAGTAACACCAAAAAAAAAAAAAAGGCAGAGGAGCATACCCATCTCCCAACTTAAAAAATGTAGTGGTCATAAGCAGCCAGGAAGGATTCTAGGATCCTCTAAACTTCTGAGGAGGAAAAGTTGAAAACCAGATTAGAAGGGCAGACCTGAGTTCAAATCTAATATTCCATGATTTATTTCCTGCATGCCAATATCAGGTTAGTTTCTTTTAGTTTATGTTTCCATGCCTATAAAATGGAAACAATAATCATAGCTACCTAGCCAAAGAGATCATGCACAGGCTATCATTAAATAAAATCCCCCAAAGATAGCTGTGATTATTATGTACAAGGCTGAGTGTCAGCAAAGACAAGAGTAATTAGTTCATTGTTGGAAGATGGGAATGGGTTCGGAGATCAGGAGAGCCCTCCAAAAGGAGATGGTATTTAACTCAGGGAACAAATTCTTGAAGTGACACAGATTGCTCAAAGGGAGGAGAATAGAGGTTTTATTGTTTTGTGTTGTTTACAATCTTCTCCCAGCTTCATCTGGATTATAAATTTCCCAAAAGGAACACAGCCCAGAGCTGGGCTGCAAGAGTGCTACAAAAACTTTGATTCAGCACTGGCTGTACTTCAGCAGCAAGATGTTCAACGCTTTACATGACCCACAACCACTTAGACAAATGAGTTTTTTTCTGATCTTTTTCTCCTTTTGTATTTATTGTAAGAGGAAAGCAGAAAATGAGAAATGAATTTAAAATGATCCAAGACCTGCAAGAGGGAGATAGAACAACAAAAGGCATCCCCTTCTATCATCCTCAGTCCTAGAAAAGCCTTCCAGATTCCCTTGGTATCTTTATATATTACTTTATATTTCAAGTACTAGATGCAAAAAAAAAAAAAAACAACTGTACATAGGCTACTGAGAAGCTTTCAATACCTCTTACTGCTGTTTTTTTAAAAAATATTTTTATTGTTATTTATTTATTTTTATGTGGTGCTGAGGATAGAACCCAGGGCCTCACACTTGTGAGGCAAGCACTCTACCACTGAGCTACAACCCCAGCCCCCTCTTACTGCTATTAATGACAACATTTGGATGTTAGTCACTAGGCATACTTACTTAAATAGCATTCAATAATCATTTATCAAGCACATACTCTATACCAGGCATTGTGCTAAATACCAAGAAGTCAAAAGAGTAAAGAGAAGGAAACATGTAAACAATTTCAGTGCAAATTTGTAGAGATTTATACTTGTGCTATGGAAACAGAAAAGCAAGGCTTATCTCTGTTCTGTTGGCTGGTGGGTGGGCTGGCAGGAGGTACAAAAAAGCTTCACCTTTAAAAGGTAAGGATAAGGCTATGCCTTAGTAAATGAGTAGGCATTTGTCGTGCAGAGACAGGAAAAATTGGGAAGCAGAGAAAAACAGGGCCAAAGGAGAATGGCTTGTATCCACCCAAGGGGTTGTGTGGATACAAGAAAAATAAAGGCCACAGAAGTTATAGTTTTATAAATGCTCTTTAAATACTAGTGGTTGATAGAAATAACTAACTCATGGAGCTAGACCACATTGTTATATTGAAATCATTCTTAAATTGAGTTCCTGCCCTCCAGAAGTTTGGCATTAACTTCAGATTATTATCAGTACGCAAAATGTGATCCTTCCCAAACAAAGACTATACTACTTAATCATTCTCTGTAGAAAGGAATACCTTAGAACATTTCCCTCCAGTAAACAGCTAATATATGTCTACCTATATTTTTTCTTCTCTAATCTAGCGATGAATTTGTATTCATGCACTCATAACATCCTCCAGCCATTCCATCCCCGTTCCTTGTTACCACCTGGCTGAAACCTTGGCATAGCTCTCCTCTCAGAATCAACTGAGCTAATTAAAAATATAATGCAAGACACAAAGGCACTAAGACAGCTGAGCAAACATTAATGAATACATAGATTAAA